TCTTCAAATGCATTAACAACTGCGCTAAGGTTGATATTTCTTGCAGCGCCTCATATATACATATATTTTCTTTACGAGACAGTTCATTTCTATGCACAATTTTTTTCAAACTAGAGTTTCTTATCTTATACAGAACTTTCCTACACGAAATTTAGCAAAATGCAATTTTAGCACTACCTTTAAACACAATTCTTGACCAATGATGTTTTTACACTCTGTTTTACAGAAACCTAACATTCAGTGTGGCTGGCATGTCAGGGAACAGCATGTGAGTACTTTCAGCTCTTACTGCATGACAATACATGTATGTCTTGACCTGTTCCACTTTCACATGTTAACAACTTTAATTTTTAAAGTGTTTAACAAGTTTAATGTTACCAGATCAAAAGTCTCGAGCTTGTGTAACGACATAAAGGTAGTATCCATGGGTTTAAGTAAATACGTGAATATGTTGCTGCTGCATGTTCTGAATACTAAATGTGATATAATAACATGGTAAACGTGATTTCATATTTCAAGCACTGGGCAATTCCCGCATATCAGTAATAATGATGGTTTGGCTCTTTTTGACAGCGTTTGGCTCTGAAGGATAAAATCTATATCACTGGCTGTTTGGATGCTGTTTGGGAGTGGTTCAGGAACCATCTTGTTATTGTCGCTGCAGTTGCTGTGGCTTTTGCCTTCCCTGAAGTAAGAATTGTTTTCCTTTCTTGTTCTTTCTTTATTTTTCTCCTTTGAGATGAAAATCATTATGTTTGAGATGATTATTTAAATCTGGAACCAAAATATCTGTACCCACGTGGCCAAAATTGAAGGGTTGCCTGAGAAAGAAGCCTTTTAGAAGTGACTTCTGATAAACCACTTAATTCTCCTTCCAAATTGCCTATTACTCCCTTGTAGAATGTAAGGAGAGTATGAGGTTATTAAGGCGCTATTCTACACTCCCCTTCAATTATTTCCACCTGGAATTATCTCGCTCATGTACACACAGTAGCTAGGATTAGATTAGACTTTGGAAATTGTTAAAAATGGGAGAACTTCAATCATCAACTACCAATTGAACAATTTAAACGAGAAGTTTGGTATTTCTTCAGAAATGAGTACACATGATACACAGTGTTTTCAATATACCACATTATTATACATGTATAGCTAGCTCCGTGAGCGGGCAAGAGGAATCAAATTCTGCTCTGTGATTTGCTATCCGAGGAGGCAAGATGGAGCTATCTTGCCCGTTCGGGATTACCTGCCGTGTCCCGCAAGTTAAAATTTCCCCGAAAGCCATATAATAAATCCTTTGTTGACCAAGCTTGTTCGCTCAAGATGGCTTGATATTGCCCTCATTCTTATTTTGCGAGTTTATGGACCTCAACTCCGTCTCGGTCCATAAACGCACAAAAAAGAACTTGGCCAATATCCAGCCATGTTGACCTCACACTTGGTCAATAACCCATATATATACACAGTAGTATCATTATAAAGTGAGACAGTTTGAAGAATGATACACATAGTTCAGGTTTGGGACTGTTATGGTTAAGTAATGGAACCATGCTGACATTCTCTTTATTTTTCCTTTCCTTGTCACAAGGTGGCTGGAATTGTTATGACTCATTTATTCATAAAACAAATTCAAGAGCAGATTGAAGCATGGAAAAACCCGCCAAAGTACAGATATAGGCCAAGTCAGGATGTGAATGGAAGAAGTGGCCCATTTTATTAACCTGCTTTTCTAGTTGTTTGTGTACATGTGACAATGTATTTTGTAGAATTCCGATAATTTAATGGTTGTAGTAGTTGTTAGTATTCCATGGTCTCACAGGTGTCCGGCCAGCACTTGCTTGATTGTTTACTGAAATGGATACATGTACATGTATTGTCATTCGTCCACAGATTTAAGACATAGTTACTGTACCCAAATTCGACTTAATGACCATGATATTGTAGCCATATCAGGTCAATGACTTGATATTGCAGGATATCAGGACAGTATTAGGACTGATCATCAACAGCGGCTGTTTGGTCTATTCGTTGCTTCTGATTGGCTAATTGCGGAAATGGGTACGATAGAAATGTATTCCTGGCATAAGATCTTTGATAATTTATTATTATTATTATTATTATTATTATTATTATTATTATTATTATTATTATTATTATTATTATTATTTTTAGGCTTCCATTACTTGTTTTGAAGCGTACAGTCTCTCCTACTATTTCGACATTCCGTACCTTCCCCCTTCTCCTTTCAAGCAAATCTGAATCCATCACTGTACATGTCACATATGACTTGTGGGTCTGGTTTTATTTTGGGTTCCATTAACCTACAAATTTGGCCACCTCTCATTGACTCCAAACCAACCGGGAGCAATGAGCGTCTGCTGTATTTTAAGTCATGTTGAACTAAAGAGCTGTTTTAGCTTTAGTGTGAATAGGGATTTAGTTAGCTTCCTATGCAGACATTCTATGGCTCTTCACACACTCCTCCCCAGAGAGCGTCTGCTTGGAAAACTTCATGTAGGTTTTAGTCGGTCAAAAGTTCACCTTATGTTGTTTTATACTGTACTCACTTTTTTAAAGTTTGCTGCTGCTGTGTTCCTTTGACCTTCCACGGTTCAAGTATCGATAAGCTAAGTTAAATATATAGGAAGGCATTATGTTAGTTGGTTTTGGTTTTGTTGTGGTTAAGCTCTAAGCATTAATCTCTAATACTCTTGAAAATGGGCACAGTTATTTTCATCTCAGGTTATTCCATATACATGTGGTCGGTGCATGACGGGACTTTGCAGTTGTCACAGAACTGATAAAAATTTTAAGAGTTCATGAGTTTTGGTGGACGCTGTCTCAAAATTAGAGACCCTTGTATGGATGTTGAACCACATTCAAGGTCCATAACTTGGTCTCTGTTCACCCTAAAAGCATCAAACTTGGTCAAATGACTAATCTCAACGTGCTCTTTCATGTGATAGTGTCAGTTTATCGATTGGTTAAAATTTGAAACTCACCTCAGTTCCCTGCGCAACTTGGAAATGGTCAATTGCCACAGTCAAGTCTCATCTCAGTGATGGTTACATGGACATCTTAAAACCGACCAGTCTAGTAACTACGGATTTCGTCGGTAATTGTCGGTGGTTTTCAGGTTTTTTCGTAGGACATGGAGATTAATTTAAGGTGCATTTGTACCAAGTGCATACGTATTAGTATAGGTAATGGTAGATAGCTTAAACGAGTTAATATGCACTCACCAGAGGCAAGCGTTGCTTAATTTAGGGCAGACACTTCCTTAACCGTTGTAATATAAAAAGGTGTGTATAATATTTTGATAAAGCTTGGAGGCCATATTCCCATAACCCCTCCTTGGGCCTCAGTTTGATAAAATAAGCTCAATGTAACAGCGTTGCTATCCACAGTAGTTTGTAGCCAATGAACAACAATGATGTACAGTTGTACAATCTAAATCTGGTGTAGAAAATCTTTATTAAAATTGTAGTTTGCAATCACTGGTTTTTTTATGTACTATTCTCAGTTTCCAACGCGGTTTTCACACTATTTTCTTATCCTGTATCAGCACGTACGCGTTCGCTTTACATGTAATACCTAATTAATTTCTCGTATAAAGAATAAAATGTTTGTTCGAATGTATACAAGGGAATAAAATATGTTCTTATAATATTTGACGTTTTCGTGATGGGTGGAAACGTTCGTACCAAGATATACATTTTTACGACGTTAAAAACAAATTTATCAGTTGTTGAGAGGGAACTGTGAACTGCAGTCTCCAGATTGAACTAGACTGGACGATCATTACATTGAATGCGTCTGTCTTTGTTGAGAAATAGAAACAAGGAAACATGTTATATTGAAGCCAATCCATAACAGCGAAAGAGGAAAAGCGAAATAAAAACGACGTACCCATCCGCCCGCCGCGATCTATTCCTTCATCTAAGAGCATGGAATATAATACAAGTTATCCTACTTTTAGATTCTCAAATATTCGAGAAAGAAACAATCCAATTTTCCTGGCTCAATCCCTTGTGCCACCAAAAAACGGAATAAACTGAGCTAAGACCCTAACTTTTCTGTGTGGAGGTAACTGTTGAGATAGTAATTGACGTTACTGTGAAAATTTGACTTTGGATGCAAATCCCAGGGGCGGATCTAGGGGAGGGCCCGTAGGGGCCCAGTCCCCGTCCCGCCCCTTATTTTGGGTTAAAAAAAATCGCAGAAGGAAGAAAAACCGGCAGGGCAAGCAGAACAATCCCCCCCTCCCCTTCCCCCTTTAGCTCAGGGTCTGGATCCGCCACTAAATCCTGTCTTGGGCTTCCCTAACTTGTTAAAGGTTCCAGTACTCTTGAGGCACTTTGAACACAGTAAACCGCTATTGATAACTGCTGCCTAACTAGATCCCAGTCTCCAGATTTCTCTGCCATGTGCAGAGCTTCTGTGACCCCAGGAAAGGTAGCTCTTCCTGGTTCTATATTGTGGAAACCAAAGTTGAAAGCCACGTGTCGGGCCTGATTTGAACCTGGGAGGCCATACGGGTAGATAAAAGCCTTCTCCACTCGAACCATTTGGTCATTGATCGTGCGCAACTCGGAGGGTCTTTCAACTACCGTTGGGTCAGATTTTCTGGACTCGAATTTTCGGCTGGCCGTTAAAAACCCGGATATAGCTTCCTGAAGTGTAGATAGGGATATGTTATTAGCTGAGAGCTTCGGAGACGAAGCGACAACGTGGAATGAAAAGTTTAAAGCGAGTGCATAGTTCATAATATCAAGTGGGAGCAGAGGCTCATCGGCCAGGTCCAGTAACATTCCTCCTGCAAATTGTGTCATAGCTTTGTGTATTTCAAATTTCTGGTCAACGAACGTTTTCACCCAGTAAAAGGTGTCTTGCTGTGTGTGATATGCAGGATATAAAGACGATCTGTCACCGTACCCAAACCAATAGCCAAAATCACCGCAGGGCACTCCTAAGTATTGATAAAATGGCACATAGTCACTGGCAGAGAAAAGGTTGTAAAGCATCGGCTCATTCCTGTTGGTATCGGAAGGCGACCTTTTCAGCCAGATGTCATACATCGTGTCCGTACCCTCTGTATTTTTAGGATCCTTGATCTGTTTACTCAATTTGTGAGTTATTTGTCTAAAAAGAGGTGATCCTCTTGCTCTTAACACGTAATCTCCACACACGGCGATGTCCAAGTTGATGTACGCCACTGCGCGCTCGGTCAAAATGTTGGCATTTTCTTCCACCCATTCGTGCGATCCAATCAAGTTGAACTCTTCTCCGCCCCAGCTGCAGATTTTTATCGTTCTTCGCGGTCTCCATCCTTTCTTCAAAAGAGTGCCCAACACTCGGGCCATTTCATTGGTTACCGAAGTTCCGCTCAGCGCGTCCACGGCACCGAAAGACCAGGAGTCCCGATGATTACCAACGATTATATATCGATCGGGATTGTCCTTGCCGAAGATGGTGCCGATCACGTTGTAAATGGTTTTCTCGTGTAATTGGTTGTTAACCTCAAGTTTGAGCTTGGCGCTGCCACTTTGAAACCCTGGACCAGTGCGGTATGTGATGTTTAAACCACCTTGCCATGTCTTAGGGGCTTCTAACCCTGCAGATTAGAAACAAAATTTACAGTTCTACGGACGAAGTTAGTGAAATCCTTTTTGTATCCCAGGTGATGAAAGAGTGAACACAAACTATTACGGATGACCTAGAATCGTTTGTAGAGTTAATTGCACTCATGTTCGTCCATGCTAGCCTCTTTGGCCCCAGTACATGGATAGGTACCTACCTATCCATGCGCTGGGGCCAAAGAGGATACCACGGAGTCTGCGTTAGGCCAATGCCCCTTACAGCCACACGGCTTATCCCGGTTTCTAAAGCAGTAAGCGACTAGGAGTATTTTTACTCCCTCCTGGGTGGGATGCTAGTCCATCCCAGAACTACGCCCCAGCAATAAATTCGCCGGTACCCATTTATACACCTGAGTGGAGAGAGGCACTGTGAGAGCAAAGTGTCCTGCCCAAGAACGCAACGTTCCCCTGCCAAGGCTAGAACCCAGACCACTCGATGCCGAGTCCAGCGCGCCCACCATTAGGATCCATTAGGCCACCGCGTCCCCTCCACAGTGTACACTCTGCCTTTTTTACCTTTATCGACATAAAAAGGAGAACTCCTTTTAAATCCCTTTCTAGAATACAACAGTGTCTTTATAAAACAATTATTACCTCCCATTCTCCGCAGCAATTCCATAGCATCTCCATAAGATATTGCCTGCGCTGGAATCTTTGGGAAGTCGCTCTCATTTACAGGCCTGCGATACATTCCCTTGGTAGCAGGAAGGACCGGCGTCAAGGGGTCTCCGTTGTTGGAACTAAATAATATAGTCCCCTCCTGCACCCCGCTCGGTGGTAGCCACCAACCATTAGGATAAACCTGTTTTTCTTCGTATCCTTGCTGAGCAGAAAAGGATGGGTCGGCGTAAACTAGCGCTCCTATTGCTCCGTGTTTTTCTGCATTGGAAACCTAAAGAAATAAGTTACTCAAATTAACTCATGGTCAAAACGATGTGGAAGAAAAAGCATGTTACTGCGCCTTTCATTAACATGTGGGCTCTAAACTTCAAAGCTCAACCGACAAATACGTTTTTCGCTACCATTATTCAAATGTTCGGCGGCTCCTCCCAGCCTCCGACTATTGCCGAGCGTGCGGTAACCAAATCGTTGAGTGCAGTTCAGGCAACGAAATAGTGCTCGGCAGTAGTCGGAAGCTGGGAGGAGCCGTCGATCATTTGATTGACGGTAGCGAAAAACCCATTTGTCGGTTGAGCTTTGAATTTTAGAGTCCGCATGTTATTGAAAGGCGTAGTAAATAAGACTAAAACAACTACATAGCCCGATCGCCGACGAGTCACTGGATTTCGCATTCTTGGGAAGAAATTCTGAATCACATGTCTGTAACACGACGGGCCACGATAAATGACAAATCTGAAAAATCGCTTCTTACTGGGTACTTATGTTAAAGTACAAACAATGGTATGTGGTAGAATAATACTCTATGCAATATACTTTTGTGTATAGGGTAGCCTGCTAGCACGCTCACCTTTCAGGTTGAGTCACGCGCGCGAGCGGCGAAGAGCAAAGCGATCCGGCGGAAAGGAGTCTGGTGAAGAGGCTCCAAGAAAGTCACTTTCTCGTCTCGCGGCTTCGCCGCTCGATTTCGCGCACACGGCTACGCCGCGCGCGCTTGTGCTCCAACGTATGCTCGAACGTGAGCCTGCTCGCAGACTACGTATAGGGGATAGGCAAGAACATATTTTGACTTAAATGATAAAAAACTTTTCAAATTTGTCCCTCACTGTATTTGAAGGGAACAGCGTCCTCAGTCGAGACAAGATCGCCTTTGAAATGCTTTACTGCCACTCACAAGTACAGGCTGAAGTTCATTAATACTTACACTTCTTGATCGTATGATGACTATGTTTCCTTTAACCGTCACGTTCATTTCAGCAAGTTTTTCAAAATCCGCATCTGCCCCATAGTTAGCATAAACCAGATCGGCTTCAACTGTACCATTGGGCGAATATGCCAAGTAAGGATAATGGTCAAATGTCTCAGAGCTGCTTGGGTCGGGTGAAATCTGAAAGACGAATAGACAGGAAAATCTTACAAAGAAGCACTTACAAAGTCATCGATTCTTGATTTTTTGACAGAAAAACTTAACAGTTTGTAGCACCTTAAAAGGTAAAGTCTGCATGCGAGCCAAGTGGCCCATCAGGCCGGAGCTTATCCCGGTTTCTGTAGCATGAAGCGACTAGGAGTATTTCTACTCCCCCC